TCGGGAGGCTGGCAGGAGGATCGCTCGGAGTTCGACACCAGCCTGAGCTACATAACAAGTTCCAGGTCAGTCTTACTACATAGTGAGACCCTGTCTCAAAAAAACCAAAACTTGAGAAAGAAATGCAGGATGCGGAAACACAGGTACCAAGTTTTTGCTGTGCTTCCCGAATGATGGAGTTGGTGCCCTTCACAACCAGATTCGTCAGAGTGGTCTGAATCTTCTTTTTCGGAGCAACGGCAGCTGCACTGAAATGACAAGAACCACCCACAGGAAAGGGGAATCACTGAACTCCAAGCTCTGTTGAGTAGAGATGGCAGAGAATTAAATACTCGGGCATTTATGCCAACCACCAAAGCACCCCAGAGGAGCAGTAAGCAGGCTCTGCCCATCCCACGGCCAGCAGAGCAATGACTTATGCACAAAGGAAGCCCAAGTGGCAAACTACAAGCTTGTTCCAGGCCATTCTGAAAGGGCTGAAGAAATAAAGGAACATGCTAACTGTTTGATTCAGGAGTCTAGAGATCTGTCTTACAATAACTAAAGACTAGCCTGGCGCACGTCTGTAATCCCAGCACTCAAGAGGCTGAGGCAGAGGATCACTGTGAGTTAGAGGCCAGCCTGGGCTACACAGTGACACTCTGTCTAAAAAAAGCCCAAACAGCCACAGCAACAGAACTAAGGACTGTGCAAAACACAGGATATGAACTATAGCCTAATCAATAACGTTCTTACCACCAATGCTCGTCCATGGGAACGTGCTTGACACTCACATAAAAGAACACTGTATAGCTAGTAAAAATGACATATGTGAATATTTGACAAAACATTTAATGTGGAAAAAGGGGGTTAAAATATACATACGGTATCAAAAATGTGCACATATTTTTAAAAAATCCAAACACTTAAAAAATGTACCAAAAAATAAGATTTTAAGGATTATAGGTGACTTTTATTTTTTTCCTTTTGATTAAAAATGTATGCGTATTGCTTCCAGCAGTTTGGAAAAATAAAGAAATTCTTTTAAATTGGATGTATGTGCTTGACTTTACACGCAGTTATTGCGAGGCTGCCTGGCCAGGTCCTGTTGCACAGGAACAAAATCTGTTGTCCCCGGACTGACTATAGCTCCCTGCGTCAGGTGCTGCCTGTCCCATGCTGATGTGGCCCTTACAGGACGGTGACAAAGCCGCGGGTCACCTACACGGGGACTCCCCAGCATCAGACCATGTTGTCTGTCCTGGGTGAACTGCCCCTCCCTGGAGGTGTCCCTTCTCTGAGTCCTTCAAATTAAACCTGGGTTCTGGGAGGTCCGCAGCCTGGCCTGAACGTCACGGGAGAGGCCCCAGGACGTGAGCTCTGGTGTCTCTTGGCCGCCGGAGTCGGCAGATGAAGTCAGAGGGAGCCTGGGCTGTGAGTGAAGGGCCACAGGGCAGGGCTGGCTCAAGGCCTGTGCCCGACCCTGTGGGGAAGGGGGTCCAGGCGGCCCACGAGGGCGGATGGAACCGGCAAGCACCTGGAGCCACCAGGATCGCTCCTGGAAGACAAGCGCCATCCCTGCCTGGAGAGAAGCCCGGGAATGTCTTACATGGAAGCTGCGTAGGACTCGGAGGAAATTCCTCCGTAGTAAAAACTGTCTTGACACAGCCGCTCCTTCAGGCTGGGGCCTTTGCGGGCAAATTTCTTCGGAATTCGTCCTCCTGAGAAGGTGGACTGCAGATCGGCCCGCCTGGCGCTGAGCTTCCTGTACTGAGCCTGGATGTGGTACTGGCAGTACTCGCAGTCGTGCTGGGGAAGGAAGAGGCCAAGGTAGTCAGCAGCCGGGCGGGGGAGACAGCCCTTCCTCCCCGCTGACCGCCAAGGCCATGCAGCTGCTGGTGACAAGTGCCCTCCTCCTGTCCCTCTTAAAGCACCTGTCCAGTAAAGCAAAAAGTGAGGTTGTGCATCCCTGTGCCCTCTTTCTTTCTGAAATGGAAATATGACCAGCTTCTAGAAACGTGTTCAGTGAGAGAAGTCAGCCACAAAAAGTCGCCCATGGTGCGATTCCTCCTACGGGATGTGCCCTGAACAGCAAATCCTACACACGAAGAAAACTGTCACCAGGACAGAGGTAGCAAGGATGGCAAGGATTTTATGGGGTGGTGAGAAGTCTTGAAACTAGACAGCTGGTGGCTGCACGGCTAAGCATCACCAAACTGTGTGCTCTAAAAATGGCTCCTGTGTGTGCTTGAAGTTTTCCTCGGAAGATAATTAAGCCCAGTTACTTGAGGCAGAGGCAGGAAGATTCCAAGTTTTGGGCCAGCTGGGCAATTTTAGCAAGACCCTGTCTCAAAACAGAAAGACTAAAAGGGCTGGCGATGTAGCTCCGAGGAAGAGCACTTGCCTAGAGTCATGAAGCCCTGGGTTCCGCCCCAGGACCACAGACAGACAGACAGACAGACAGACACAGACAGACACACCACACACACACACACACACACACACTAAATAAGACTAAAATTAAAAACCATCTTCTAACAAAGTTTTCCTAGCTACTTCTATAGTTGCCTTCTGGACAAAAGCTATTATTTCAATAAAAAACAAAGTCATACTGTTGTACTGGTGAACTCTTAGATACGGTGACAATGGATTTCTAATGGTCCATTCTAGCCCTTCTGTGAAATCTCTCCATACTTCAAGATCTCCTTTTAATCAGCTGCCACTGCAATCCTGCTCTCAGGTACGCAGCGGAGAGAACTGAGAACAGGTGTCCACACAAAAGCTTGTAAGAAAATGCGTGCAGCAGCACTGTTCATACAGCCGCCCTGGACACAGCCCAAATGCCCATCAACCGAAGGATGGGTGAACAGAAAGAACACGGTGTCGCCATACACCGGGGTAGTTAACCACGAAAAGGGTGAGGCGACGCCAAACGCCAACAGATGAACCTTGAAAAGAACACGCTGAGTAAAAAGTCACAAAAGGTCACATTTTGTGATCCCGTTGTATGAACTATTCAGAGTGGGCAGATCCAGAGAGACAGGAGGTGGACGGATGCTCCCCAAGGGCCCGGGAAGAACACTGGGGTGGCTGCTAGTGGGAGTGGGTGTCTTTTTGGGGATAATGAAACCAGTCTTCTGAAATTACCCAGCGGCGATGGCAGCACAACTCTGAATCCCTGGTATTAAAAAGTATTGTATTATACTCTGAAAGGGCAAACTGGCATAGGAACTGGAACTCATTGAAGCCATTAAAAAAAAAAAACTTTAAAAAGTTATATATCTGAATTAAAGTCTAGGATAAAATAAGTTTTGTGGCGCAATTAGCACACTGTGTTTTATCTCTGGAACTATAAAGAACAGAGAGCAAACTAACATTTTGGCCTCCTCAGACCCCCTGGTCAGTTGGCAGTAAGAGATCATTCCCGGAGATGTTATGAAGTCTCCCTGTCCTTTTCCTACACACCTGCCAGCTTTTTAAATCAGAAATTATTAACCACAGATTCAACATTCTCACTCTGACTCTTCCTGGCAGGAGGGAACTCAGTTCCAGTCCGGTGATTATGGCCAAAGAACCCAAAGTCCATTACTAATCATTCCTGACTAGCAGAAACTGTCCTCACAAGGTTGAAACCAACCAGATTGACAGTCTGTGTACAGGGCTCCCCATTCTTCTTCCTGGCTTTACAGGTTCCCAGGTCAAGAGCTTCACCCATGATTAAGACCTTCTGAGGGTGATCAACAGACAAGCACACCTGTAAAAAAGCAGGAGGTTAAGAGTTAAAGGCAGACAGAGGCACGACTTTCAGTACAAGACAGAGAAAGGCATGGCTGGTGCAGATGGAGGGAGGCTTTACTGTCCTAAGGGAATTGGAAGTCAGGGCTCTGTAAACAGTTTTAAGAATAAGAGTGCAGAAGACACATTCCGTTGTCTTCCAGGGACCCCTCTCTCCTTCCTCCTAGCCATCAGAATCCTGATTTTATCTGGGCTGCCCAAGTGCTCAGCCTCAAGTAACAGCCCCTACTGCATGACTTCCTAGCTTCCCGCTAGCTAGCAATGGTCATGTGACTAAGTTCTAGACAATTAGACTTCAGCAAGAGCTGGGAGGGAACTTAAGCAAGGGGCAAAGAACTGCGTGCCCTTCCTCTTCATTTCGTTCTAACTGGTGGGGTGACGCAAGAGGATGGGCCCTGAAGGGCTCTGGCTGATCCAGTCCCCCTGCTTCTTGCTGACAATTCTGAGCAGAACGCACTAAGACTACAGTGACCTCAGACAAGGAGGATATGTCCCGATTAACCTGTTTAGTCATCATCTCTCTTAGAGCAGCATTTCTTCCAACACACGAGCCCAGCGATCCAGTGACTGGGTTATGGAGTCTACGGCAGCACACTTGGGGAGCCCTCAGCTACCATGCAAATCTGGGCACGGAGGGCAAGACTCCACCTAGCTTTCCTGGGACCTGCAGAATCTGCTCACTGTGGATCCTAAGCTGCTGCTTCTTCTTGAAGTAATAAAGTCCCTTTAGACTTGTGAGAGGCTTCCGTCTCACTGAACTCACACTCAGGCAGCTGGACTTGTGCAAAGCCTCCTTCTGATCTAGGAATTTTAGCAGAAATTAAGCATAGCATTGAGAGTCCTTCCCTGGGGTTAGTACCCACTGCAGGGTATCCCCTCCCAAGGACTTGTGGCCAAGAGGGGAAGGCAGAGACTCACAGGGACACTGCTGGGTCACTGCACTGCCTGTTTCGAATTTTCAAGAAAAACAAATCCCACCGTTTACTGTTAAATATAAACCACCACGAAGTTTCTCTGGTATGTGCAGCCAAATACATTCCTAACCAACAGAGGAAGATCTGTTGCAATTCTCTGGTGAAAGCAAAGAATGATGTTAATTTTTGCCCCTCACTCCTGAAAATAATTTGAGTACAAATAAAGCTTCTACTCCTGTCAAGGTGCAGAGATTGCCACTGCTATACTCAGTGGGGTTAGCTTTGCAATTCGCTACAGAAGCAGTGGCAGTACCATAATTCTAACAAGCTTGACAAGAGGAAAATTCACTTTGGATTAACTGCAACTGTAGGTGCAATAAAAACAAAAGAGGTAAAATCCCCTGCCCCATAAGCACTGCTCTCTGATGCTACTGTGGACATTTATGGGAGGGATCTCAGGAAACTTGAGCATAAGAGTTCAAAACACTCCAGGAACCTTACACCTAATCTGAATATATAATAAAAGCCATTATTACAAAACACTTTAGGCAGAAACTCAACATATTAGTGGATAAGGAACAAACTAAAAGAACAGATTACTGGAGACACAAATATAGAATTCGGCTCAGTTTGGCTGGAGGTAGTCAAATAAAACATTTTTGATAAAACAGGTAACACAAATAAAGACAATCGAGCAAATCCTAGACGGATTCTTACCTCCTGTGAACCATCCTTGGGCTTCATGGGGTTGGCATTGAGCAAGCCTACGACAGTACCTTGCTCTGTCTTCCAGAGCTCTCTGTGAACCTCTCCAAACAAGAACAGCGACACACAACTTGTCAGGTCCCGAAGATCATTCAATCGCCAGATGCTAAATGTTTTCCCCTGGAATGAATATTTATTCTGGTTTTTAATAATGTTTATTAATAATAAAGTCACACCACCTCCATTTATGGTTCAAGCGCTTTGCTGTGGAAAAATATCACCCTCCTCAAGAGATGAAGGTAAAGCAAGGCGAGCGAGGACAAAACTGCTAGGGAAGGACTCACTCTCACGTCTACACAGTCAGGGGCTTGCCCTGCCCTTCCAACGACACGAGCACTCACACTGACACACACTCACCAGCAGGAAGGAAGAAGCTAACTAACCCTTCCTCCTTTAACTTTGGGTATCAGGCATTTTGTCTCAGCGTTGAGAAAAGTGACCAAGGCACATGGCTTACACTATTAGTGCTCTGGGGGGTGACTTTCTTCAAAATAACCCCAAACGTCACCCAGTCCATTTCTTCCAGCTTCTGGACTGCCATCTTTTCCTTGATCTGAGACAGTCTGATCAGTTTTCGGCCAACCATTTTCTTGCTCATTTCTGTGGAGGACACTCGAGGGCGCCTGGGTTCAGAAACCAATGATTAAGATTGTTATTCCATAAGGGACCACGGGGCACCTTACGCGTGGTGAGGGAGACGACATGGGCACACACCCCGAAGGCCTGGGGGCTTCGTTCTATAATATGGACGGGGCACATGGCTTTAAACAGACACATAAAAGTCATTTTCCCACCTTGGTACCAGGGATTGAACTCAGAACGCTGCGCTTGCGAGACAAGCAGTGAAACCACTGAGCTAAATTCCCAGCCCTAAAAGTTATTTTAGTTTGGTTTTCTTTGGATATGGATTTACCCTTAAAAGGTTATTTCGTAAGTTTTTATGTTGTTTTATGAGATCAACCTAAGATAGTATCTTATACATAAACTATATTTAAAAATAATCCATGCTCCCTAGTACTGCAAAAGATAATAAAAAATAAAAAGTTTAGGGCCGGGGATTTAGCTCAGTGGTTCGGTGGCCTGCCTTGCAAGTGCAAGGACCCGAATTTGATCCCCGGCACCAAAAAAAAAAAAATGTTTATACCAAAGCTGGAAAAACTTTTACATAGTCTGTATCAGTGTCTCCACCTGTCACTTTCTGACTGAATGGACTACTATCTACACACTTCCTTTTCACGACAAACAGCCTTCACTCGCTGCATAAACAAGAGTTGCCTTCCTCACCAATCTCACAGTAGGGGGCCAAGGGAGAAGTGTTGCTGCTCTTACTGCAAGCTTTGTCCAGTGCAAGAGCTTCTGGGATTCTGTGAACCTGCTACACCAGGATGCTGCTTCTAAAGGCCCTGTCTTCAGGAGGAGGAAGGGCTGCCTAGTAATGCAGACAGAGGGAAAGGGCTGTTCAGCCACTGACCTGAGCCGCAGGCCAGAGAAGGCTTCCGTAGAGACCAGCTGAGCGGGCTCCCCCAAGCTCCCTGTGGTCCCCGAGCCCCGATCTCTAGTCACCCCGCTGTGTCTTTCCCCAGGAACGGGCTGCTGTGGTTGGGAAGGCACAGTTGTCATCCTTAAAGATGAGCTTTTGGGTTCTGGAAAATTAACGTAAGGATTAAGGGGGGGAAAAACTGATAAAGTACAAAATGTGCTTACACAATTATTTCATTTATAATCAATACATATGATAATCAGGTCTTGAAAGAACAGAAGAAGGCCACAAGACCACTCAAAACCTCCGCAGTGCAATCCAATAGAACTTTCTGTGGTGATAGGAAAATGTGTTAGCATTGGCCAATACAGTGGCGTGACCACTGGGGACTTCAACGTGACTTGTGCGGCTCTGTGGAGTTAACTGGGAATCAAACCCAGGAACTCACACACGCTAGGCAAGTGGTCTACCACTAAGATATAAGCCCAGCTCCTGCCAACTTAGACACATGGGGCTAGTACCTGCTATATTAGACATGCATGGGGGGTACCGGAAATCGGACTCAGGACCTTGTGCTTGCAAGGCAGGTACAGTGCCACTGAGCTAAATCCTCATAGACGTGCAGTTTTAAAACATTATCATTCTATTCCACGTCACTGAGTGTTCACCAGGCATAAACACTGCAGTGGTCACCACAAGGAATAAACACCCTCCTTCAGGAATGAACGTTTGGGGATTCAGCTCAGCGGTGCAGTGCCTGCTGGGCAAGTGCAAGGTCCAAAAAGGCAATAAATTGTACTATTTGTGCACAAAGCAAATTCTTGAAAATCTCCAAAGCTAATTCTTCTTTTCTTCCTTCTTCTCTCTCTCTCTCTTTCTGCATTTCATTTCATTCCTTTTATTTATGAGGTGGGGGAGACAAAAGGGGGCCAACTATTCTGTTGACCACCACACACATTAAACATCAAAGCTTGCGCTTTCCACAACAAAACAGCAATCTCTCTCTTGAAAGAGTGTGTTGTTTACCCTCAACGGGACTTTGGATCATGGTCCCCAGTCCAGAGGACAGGGCAACTCTAGAACTTTAGAACTACTCCCCTCAAAACCAAACTTGCCCAATGAAGTATGTTTGTAATGTCAAAGGTCGTGAGAGGAGAAACAATATCAGAAATGGATAAACTGGACATACAACTTGCTACGGAGTGCATGTTGATAGTTAAAGGCGCCTGGGATTCCCCACGACTGAGTCATAAGACAAAGGTATTACTGAAAGGGCTTTTCTGAACAAATTCAGCTAATCAAACGCTGCTTCATCTAAGCTGCATTACTTCTGGACCATTTTGTCTCTGGAAGAATAATAACCCTGGGCAAACTGAGGGAACACAATAAAACCAATACACAGGACTTATAAATTCTTTCCATACATACGTATATATTTTCTTTTTTTTTTTATTACTACCTTATATATTCCTGGCAAAGAAGTTTTCTTTTTTGGTCCCAGGGATCAAACTCAGGACCTTGTGCTTGTGAGGCAGGCACGGCACCACTGGGCTGTATCTCTGGCCCAAAGAAGTTGTTTCTATAGCATGGACCCTCTGGCTTAGTACAACCTGCTTTCAAATAAAACCTGACTACTTTATAGGAAGTATGTACTTAATCTTACGAAGATAAAATCTCCAGATTGCCAGCATGAGGGTTCAATCTAGTGGTGGCACTGAATGCAGTCTAAGCACAAGGCTACGAGGTTAACAAATTTAACCTGTCCCACACTGAGTCAACACCTAGAGCATACCTAGGGATGTTCTAAGTACAGTACGTCCTGAGATGTCAGGGAGAGCACAAAATACATCTTGAGCCTCCCATGTATTTCCAAGAAACTCACTGTTCTCAGTGGGGAGACAAGGCAGACACACCAAGGGACAGACACACACCCGCGTACACAAGTCTACAACAGCCACAGGGAATTTCAGACGAAGCCAGAGCAGCAGGACGCGGTGCGGGGCCCCAGGACCACACCTGGAGGAGAAGGCTTTGGCCTCCGAGCCACCCGCTTGGTTTTGGGCAGAGCAGGGACATCAAGCTCCGCAGAAAAGCATGCCGACTCCTGAATTCTCTGAACTCTCTTCTCCTTAAGCACAGGTCGTGTGGTCCTACTTTCTTAATTAAACAGAAAAGAGATTAGTAAAGCTAATTTACAACACAGGCGCTTAAACGCTTCTCTGCCCCATGTTTAAATACCGTGTCGTTTCTCTAGCGTGAGAAACAAAGTGGAAATAAGGACTAAAATGTATAGTAGGCCCCGGGAAATGGGAAGGGGAACAAGGGAGGAGGTGGGGAGGAAGGAAGGAAGGGAAAGGGAAAAGTACAAATAGAAGGGAAAAAAGAGGCGGGCGGTACCATGTACAGGTGCAAGTTCCCTACAATGAGTATTACCATTATGGATCCCTCACAGGTACCAATCAATGCTTTGCTCTTTAAAAAAAGAAAAAAAAAAAATGTTTTGTGCCAAAGAGAAGTTATCATCTCTTTACTTTTCTTTTTTTTTTTTTGGAGGGAGGGGGTTTTATGTTTTTCAGTCCTGGCACTTAAATGCAGGACCTTTGCACGGAGCCATCTACCCAGCCCTTTTTTTATATTTTGTTGAGACGTGGTCTCACTAAGTCAGTAAACGCCCCAGGCTGGACATGAACCGGCACTCTTCCTGCCTCAGCCTCCCATGCGTGTACCACCACATCCAACTAGCTACAGTTTCTTAATAACAGAATGTGCACTGCTGCCTAGACTGCAGTCTTATTACCAGGGCATTTATGCAGAGAGACTGGACTTCCAGGCTGTTTAATCGATGCCGCTTTTAGCTGTTCTTGTAAGGACTTCATTTGCTCTTGTAACTTCAGTAATTCATCTAGGGAAAGAAAAATACATAGACTTAAGAACACTGTGGGAAAAAATATTATACATCAGGATAAAGCTAGCAATATTCTATATCCATCCCTTGCCCTCAAACCCTGACACTCACAACAGTCACCTAAATTAACTTTTAGTTCTAATTTTTATACTTCAAAGAGGTCCCTCAAGGGAAACAAAACTTTTATTTCTAGTAACCAAGCCTCTGATACCTCCGTTAAGCATGCGTGTTACCGACATGTGTCACAGGTGCACACTGATCGTTGACACATTTTTAGGAGTCAAGAAACGATTGTATTTACTTTGTAAATGGAAATATCACGGCTAACAGCTTTGGGTAGTGAGCAGAATATGCTGCAGTTGTCTACCTGCACGCAAACCCTAACGTACTGTAATGTCATTCGATAACAAGCACAGAGTGCGTCAGTGCGAAAGATCACCACGGCTGGCGATGACAGGGGAGGCTGGAGGGTGCCCAGATGCCACCCTGCAGCCCTCAGCGTCTCCTCGCCCAACTCATACATCTGCTCCCTTGAACCAGCAGCTGTTTTAATGAAAACTCAAATGTGCGACCTTCACCCAGCTTAGCATAAGGAAATCAGAAAAGGCAAGTGGCTGGCGAGAGCACCTTGCAGCTCCTGATTGGTTTTCTCTCGATTAGGGGCTGGTGCAGGGAGGACACTGTTTTCAGCGGGCCGCGATACAGGGACCTCTTCGTTAATCAAGTCCTCCACATCTCCAAAGAGAGCGGCCAAGTTTTCCTTCTGCTCCTCCGCGCTTCCTACGTCTCCGTCCTCGGCCTCTTCTGTGTATGATTCACCATCGCCATCAGCATCAAAGAGCTCGTCATAGACGTCAGGTCCGCCATCCTCCGGGGGCGAGCAGCTCCCCGCTTCCGAAGGACAGGCCGAGGCTGACTCGTTCTCCTCCAGCAGGGCCGTCAGCAGAGACAAATCCTCCTCCTCCACTGGAAGCAACAGAGAAGGAGAGAAATTGAGCCCACCGGAAAAGACTGCTAATGACAAGCACACTCAGATCCAACATTACATGGCAATTACAGTGAATGTATGGGTGCCCCGTTTGGCCTGGACAATTTGTCGTTCTCTCTGGTCTCTCCTATCCTGGGAGAAGACACCACACATATCTGCTCGGCGGCTAGAGTGAGAGTGTAAGGAAAACGGAAGCCCAAGATGGCTGCACTCTGGTTCAGGCTGTGTGGGGTGATTCCAGGGGACATTCAGTCCGAGTTGGCAAGACCTGGACACAGGGGCTCTGTTGTCTCAGTGTACATAACTGACAGAACCAAGGTTGTTCCAGGAACCAGGCCATGATACTCTTGTGTTTTCTGGTATAAATGCCGACTGTTAAGAGGGCCGGCGGGCCCCAGCTGCTGAGGAACAGAGAGAAATGTACAGCACCTGGGCAGAGCAGCTGAGAATAAAGGTATGTTCAGGAGCCAGGGCTGGTGACGCACACCTGTGATCCTAGCACTCGGGAGAGAGGCTGAGGCAGAGGATCGCTGCACGTTTGAGGCCAGCCTGGACTACATAATGAATTCAGGACCAGCCTGAACCACAAAGAGAGATCCTGCCTCAAAAACAAACAACCAAACAAACAAAACAAGTATGATCAGGCATTTTCACGACTCCATGTCTCCTCTTTGAGCTGCCCAAATCTCAAGGGAGCCTCCCCAGTCTGAACTGGTGACAAAACAGCCAGACACCAGGCTACAATTTCTACCTTCTCTGTTTTAATTATGAGACAACTTCCTGCATATCAACCTCCATGAGAGTCAACTAACAAAGGGATGACTGCAAAACAGATTTAGGCCTTAGCTGTGTGAGGTTTTTAAAATATATTTTTACATTTTCTTTCTTTTGTACTGAAATTTGAACCTAGGCAGCACTGAACTACATTCCCAACCCTTTTTAAAAGATTTATTTCAACAGTGTCTCAGTAAGTTGAACTTTTGGCCCCATCGGGGCTGTTGTGCCATCGGGCTGTTGAGACTCTTTACAGATAGAAAGGTATGCAAAAAGCGCTCGTATCCCAGCACCTAAAACGAGCCACCGTTAACACTAACACGAATGTATAAGTTCTCACAATATTAGGCAGCTTTAGAAATACATTAAAGAAAAACTCCACACTCTCTGCACGCCAATCTATGGGTCATTCAACACCACGTAACACAACTCTAGTTTACTTCTTTCTATTATTGTATCGTATTCGTCAACCCTAGCACCGCACCACTTTCCAATCAAGGACGTAGGGGCTTCTTCCAACATTTCCCCACTCTCAATATGCTGTAATCACAGCCACGCCCTCCCGCATGGCACACACGCACAATCCTGGGATTGTGGCTCAGAAGCCGACTTGCTGGGTTGTTGGTTACGCTGCACATGTTTCCAATTCCGCATTCTCCAAGAGGAGGTGCTCTCACTAGCACCACAATCAAGCAGTGTCTCTCCTCACCCATATCTTAAAAAATTTTTTGCCAGAATGATTTTCGAAAGCATCTCACTGTTTTGGTTGGCATTTCCCAGATGACTCGGGAAGGTAAAACTCGCTTATGTTCACGGCCAATTGCAATTCTTCATTCTTGTTTCTTTTCTCCTCACCCCCACCACCGTGCTAGGGATTGAACCCAGTGAGCTGTAGCCCAGCCCTTTTATTTTTCATTTTGAGACAAGGTCTTGCTAAACTGCCCAGGCTGGGCTTGGATGTACAGTTCCTCTGTTTCGGGCTCCCATCGTGCTGGGATTACAGTGGGATTTCAGGCATCTGACACCACACCCAGCTAATCTGTTTATTTTCTTTGCCCCCCCTTTAGGTAGCATTCCCCTATAAAATGAGAGGTATTTAATGTAAATGTTAGGGATATCTGACCCATTCCCGTCATCTGAAAGAAAAGGGAAAGAGAGAGGGTAAGAACTTGTTCAGGGTCACAGGATGAAAAAGATCAGCGCGGAAACCTGGGTTAGTAAGGAGGCCGCTAGATCAGCAAACCAAGGCCCTTTCCACCACTCTACAGTCCCTTAGCAGAAGAAAGAGAGCCGAGAGCCAGGCTGAAGGCCTAGAACAGTGGTGGCGAATCCATGGCTTCCGGCCACAGCAGGTGTCTATATCACTGAAAGCTCTGAAACTACCGGTTCGAACTGCTTAGTGGACAGACTCGGATACCAAGCTGGGAGTGGGGGCACTTGGCTGTAGTCCCAGCCCGTGGGAGGCGGAGGCAGGAGAATCAGCCTGGGCTATATAGTGAACAAGCCTGTTCAAACATCCAAACAAACAAACAAGCATAGACTCCAAGCTGCAATGTGAGGCGACAAAGACACAATCCCGGCTCCCCATGCTCCAGAGATTTCAATGTCCCTGAAGGGCAGCTCAGAAGCCTCCACCTCCTCTCGTTTCTGAGCTGCCAAAGACAGCACACCCCAGAGGGAGGCTTGGCCCACACACTGGAAATGCTGCCGGGTGACCCCGCGCTCTTTCACCTGGACCCCACTTTCATCATGAGATAACCAGGGCTCATCCCGGGACAACTCCCATCCCTGTTTACTTTGCACAACATCAGAAACCACCCATCCTCATATGCTGACCCAATCTTCCGGCCTTTGTTCCCAAATCCTTGGGATCCACTCTCTGGAATCCACAATCAACTACTGGCGAGTCTCCCTATGTGCTCAGTGACTCCTACCACAGAAGCCTGGCTGTCCCCAGTGGAAGTTATTTTAATGTGTGCACCATAAACAGGCGTCTGACGCGGCTTAAAAACCCCACACTTCCCCAATACATTTGCTTTCCGTTCTACACTTCACACCGTCCCCTCCCAAGCCCTCTATATCTCCTCCTCCCTACTCTCGGCTGATGATACTATATTTTACTCTTATACTGTATGACGGAAAAGCGAAACAAACAAAAAGCCCAGAAGCAATCATCTCCCTCATCTACCACTACCAAATCCGAACATGAGTTCTCATCTTTCCCTCCTGCGACAACTGACTAAGGGTTCAGCCCTACTTTATAGCCAATTCCTCCATTTGTATGTTGGATTCCACTGCTGAGCGCAGCTTCTCCAGGACTTCACCGTACAGTTACCAAACTCTCTTCTGCATCACCAGTTTCTCCCTTTCTTCTGCAGCCTTCCCATCAGTAACAGTCACTCTAGTGTCTCTCACCTTACCAACAGCCTGGCTACCTGGCGAGGTAGGTTTTTTTGGGGTAGGGTGACTTAAAAATTTTTTTGTTATCATCTTACTCCCTCTACAAGAATGAAAGCAGGAATGATATTCAACAGTGTACCCCTAGTACCAGTAAACTTTTACATTTCCTCTCCATTGGCTAAATTGGGAAACTGCACCAACCAAATGAGATTTTCCAACTAGATACCATGATTTCTTAGAGCACTAACTCATGGATCTCTCATTTCAGTGACCATCTCACAGAAAATGGTTTATATTTTTATCAAACTACCCTGTGAGAAATTTGGTGATTTTAGGAAATAGGAAACTATTCCATAGGGCAAGCAGTTTCAAGTATATCACAGTGTGATGAATTTCAACATTTGGCTTTACTGATTTTGGTTTTTTTGAGATAGGGTCTCATTTTGTATTTCAGGCTGGCCTTGAACTCACATGATCCTTCTGCCTCAGCCTCCCAAGTGCTGGGATTAGATGTGCACCACCACTCAGCTGGTTTGACTTTTTTTTTTTAAGGGCAAATGTGTATTAAATATGAGTTTGTAAAAGATCTAGATGCAGACAATGGGCTCAATTATACAACCAGAAAAATAATGTTTTACTTGGGAAAGTCCATGTAAAACCAAAACAACCATTGTGCTGTTTCAGATTAAGCTTTGCTGATTAAAACAACATCTCTTTACTGGACATTCTGTACACATCCCTGAAAAACAAATTCAATTAGAAAGGACTGTAACAATTTAAGTTGCAGCTAGACTAAAACCACTCCAACAGATATTTACATCAAATGTCAGTTCTGAAGGCAAGAGAAATTAAGAAAACAGCCAGGTCTTACCATCCATCATTAAGACAGGAGCTGCGAGCAGGAACTCCAAAGGAGGATCAGGTGGTCCCCGGAGATGAACGTGGTCAAATCTTGGCTGTGGGAAATCAATATTAGAAATGTCACCCTTAAATTTTCCTTTTTTCTCACAATGCATATTCAACAAATCCAAAATCCCACAAATCCCACGGGCTGTAATCTTAGGATCCATCTAGAATCGGACACTTTCACTCCCTCTCGCCCTTCTGGTTCATCAGCAGCCCTTTCATTTGTCTTTACACTATGTTTACAGAAATTCAGTAGAAGCATAGGGTAGTTTATACGATTCCAGATGCACAGATGATACAGACTGTGGACAAAAGCAATTTGGGCTGCTCTAAATATTAAGGCTGTTATCCCATTTCATAATGCACCTGATGTCTGCCTTAGCTCTAGCAACTCAGTGTGTGATTCTAATTAGGTCCAGCCTTGGTCAGGATTTTAATTCAACAATAGCTAGCAAGGCACGGAGGAATAGTTAGCATAGTTAATGAAACTAAGGCCAGATCATTCTGGGTGCTTTCCTTTTTACACTAAAAGTGACCTTTAAAACTGCAAGGTCCTAAGGCTGGGGATGTAGCAGCTCAGGGGCACCCCTGCCTGGAAAGCACAAGGTCCTGAGTTCAACCCCCGGTACAACAACAACAGCGACAAAAAAACACTACGATTTTACTTAACCTACGTGCACTCTAATGACTTTGCCAAGTCCAACGTCAAATCAATTAAGGTGCGTTCTTTTTACTTATCCAGCATTTCCAAGGACCCCATCCTGTGTCACACACTGTATTATTCACTGGGGAATCATCTGCTTGAGGGTTAGGAGCAAATTTTGATTCTTCAATCGGCCCCTCTCCCCCAACACACCTGTGTTCTCCTGCTTGCTCACGCTCACATCAGGACAAAAAGCACTATTGGCTCAACTCTCAAGTCTGTCGCTTCCCTCCAAAATCACTGGCAAAACCTTTAATAGGAGCCAATGTGGAGGACTGCAGTTGCTTCCTGACAGTCTCTGCACACCTGCAATCTACTCTCCGAGCTGAGGCACAGTAATCTTCCCTTTCCTTGGGATCCTTTAGGATCGTGTATCAGATCACGGTGTTTCCTTAGCTGAATTCTTGAACAAAGCCTGAGGCAAGGGATATTCTCTCTCGCTTCTTCCTACTTCCTCCTCTGTTCCATCCCACCCAGCTCCACCGGCTCCCAGACTGTGCTCCAGCCGGGTTCTCGAACCCCCGCGCGGCTCTGAGACATGGAGCATCTGGCACAGCAAGCTCTCCGGAACTCCTCATTCTGCAGCCTCCTTTTTCTAGGCCGGTCCAGCCCGCCGTCTCCGCGGAGGCCCCTTTCCTCAGCCTCTCCCGGGACCCTTCCTTCCCCCACTTCCCGGTTACCTGGCTCCTCTCTAGAGAGCAAGCGTCGCGAGCAAATCACTAATCACAGGAATGAAGTCCAGCCAGCCAGCATCCGACAAGCGTTTTCAAAAGTTACCGAATTCTTAAAAGGAAAAACACCGGTTCCTTCGGCGGATGACCCCGCAGTTCTCTTGACCGCGCGCCACGGCGCCTTCCCCACCA